ACTTCCTTACATTGGTATCACATCTGTAAGCTCCACTCCCTCCACTGCCAATGCATCTATAAGATGCATTGCAGAAATTCATCAAAGATCCTTCGAAAGCACCTTCCAAATCCACAACCACTTCCATCTAGAAGGACAAGGGCAGTGGATGTATGGGAACACCACCACCTTTAAGCTCCTATCGAAGTATCAAGAAGGTGGCAGGGTAAGTCGCTCTGTTCAGAGCTCCACACTGCTCGTCAGGTCCCTTTTCCTTTTTCTTTTTCTCCTCCTCTTCTCTCTCCATGGGCCATAAATGCTGGCTGGAAAGCAATGCAGAAGTGAATAAAAAGATAGTGCACAGCAGCTGCACTTCAGCAGAGAACTGGATTTAGGATGCCAAGACAACAGTAACCCAAAATCAACATTAGCCATCTGGGAAGTTGCCTATTTGATAGCAGGATAGCGCCTTAATTTTTGTGAATTGTTGCTCTTGTTGACTGCATGTATGTTTTAAATTATTTTTGGAATGTTTAGGCTATTGTTGGGCTTTGGCAAGAAACATATTTTAGTTTGAACTTGTTCTTCCATCTTTTGAATCCAGTCTCTGAGAATTTTATAAAGTACAAGCTGGTCCTAGCTGGTCACAGGTTTTACTGGAATAGGATGTTATTGATGTTGACTGATTCAATCGTTTTCAATGACTTTTATTCCGTAGGGTAATCTCCCTTCAGATTATAAAATTACTTTGATTGATGTGGGCCTCGTCATTGAATATCTTATGGGTGGAACTTATCGATGTACATACACAAAGAAACGTTTCCGAATTATCTACAACAACCTCCATGGAAATAATAGGGTACGTTCTCTTTGTGGAATATCGCATTAAGTACCAGCAAACTGACCTGTGAAGTTATGATGAAGTAACAAGTTGGGGTGGGGAGGTGCAACCATTTCCATATTGTCCTATAATAAAGCACTATGAGCGCTGGAGATGTGAAATATACAAAAATAGAAATCGCCATCAGAATCCTGAACATTTCGAATTCTGAAGGGTAATTGGACTCGGAACGTGAATTGTTCTTTGCCACAGATGCTGCCAGACCTGCTGAGTTTCTCCAGCAATTTTAGTTTTTGTTCCTTATTTACCTACTTTATTTGTTCCGATAATTTTTAGTTTGTGCCTTCCCTGACCATTCAGTTGTTAAGGTGACATTTAAAGAAAAAGGTTCATTGATGTTATTAACTGTTTTGCTCTTTGCAACTTGAAACAAGAAGTATATGAGAGGTTGTTCCAGGCCTTAATCCTAAATGGAAGCAATTTTGCAGCACCACTGGTGATTTTTTTTTTTAAAGTTGATGAGCAAAACCCTGTCCGTAACATTCTCTAACAACCTTTTCTTTTGTATTTTTCAATCTAGCGATCTGGACGGCATTCATCAAGTAGTATACCTCAGTTACGTAAGCACCAAGAGTCCCTGACTAATCGAGCAGATAAAAAAGAGAAGACTCGACATAATCACTTCATTAAAACTGCGCAGCCTTACAAACCCAAGGTATGAACAGATGGTTTGTATATCTGTCCTACTTGGATCTCGAACACAGAACTTTGTAAAGGACACCAGGCACCTGCTGAGCTGTTTGTTTCACAGGGTATTGAGGTTTCGAGGATCGGAGCAAAAATTTGAAATTCATGAATGTGTTTAATTGTTTGAAGTTGATTTTGGCGTCTTAAAAAAAGCTTTTTGTACTTTGCCAGCGCAGTCAGGGTATGGGACAAGGGGCCCCATATATTGTATATTTAATACAAATTCAACCTTGCATCACAGAGCAAGTTGCTGTTTCTCTAATTGGTTTTCAGTCAGTAATAAACAAAATAGCTGACTGTCTTTCTGTTTTTTCAGCCTGAATCCTCTGTTGATCAGGGGAAGAAAAAGAGAACCAAAGATGAGGTTGTGGACATTGATGACCCAGAGACCAAACGTTTTCCTTACCCTTTCAACGAGCTGCTCGTCTGGGCTGTATTAATGAAGCGGCAGAAAATGGCCATGTTTTTCTGGCAGCATGGAGAAGAGTCCATGGCCAAGGCTTTGGTTGCATGCAAGCTAAATCGATCTATGTCCTGTGAGGCAAAACAGAGTGATGTAGTTGATGATACTTCTGAAGAACTCAAACAGTCTTCCAGGTCAGTCTTTATAAAGTGCCCATGGTGTAGAATTTAATAATTATGGAAGTACTTTCGTGTTTGGTGCAAAGTAAAGCTGTTTTATCAGAACAGTCCGTCCTCAAATTTAATAAAATTGTATACATGTTTACCATACACAGAGCCAATTCTAATTTGCACCCTTTTTAAACACTGATTTATGTTGCACCGTGTTGCATTTAACCTCCAGCTAAGAAATTTATTTGTGCCCTTATCCCGACATTTTGCCAGTGTTGCTTTTCAACTGTTGCCTTAGCTGTGAGAATACCATAAGTTGTTGCTTTCCTGTCTCTCAAAAAGAGAAAAGAATTCCAAGAAAGAAACCTGTTTCCTGGAAATTGATGGTACAGTATACTTGGTGAAGCCACTATTCCAGTGCACAGTATCCAGTATTGTGACTTGTAAGATCCCTTGTGCTCTGAACAGAAAACTAGCAAAAAAAAAAGAGAGCCCATTTCTGAAGAAGAATCCTGACCCAAAACGTCAGCTTTCCTGCTCCTCTGATGCTGCCTGGCCTGCTGTGTTCCTCCAGTTTCACACTGTGTTATCTCAGACTCCAGCATTGGCAGTTCTTACTATCTCCTAGCAAAAGGTGTTATCTGTTTAGCAGAGGAGATCACAGGAAGAATATCTAACCACATTTTTGAGGTTTTTTGAGCACAGTCTAAACAAAGAAGTTGATACTTAGGAAGGGAGTTCCAAACGCCTAGACTTGCTGAAGGCATAGCAGCCATTTGTGGATGAAAGATTTTTTTATGCCCAAAAGAGGCTAAAATTAGAGGGAAGCTGTACTCTTGACAGGATGGAGAAGAATAGAGTAGGGAGAGACCACAAAAGAGTTTGAACTTGAGGCTGAGAAATTTCAATTTGAGGGTTTCTGAAGCCAAAGATAAATGAAATTTTGGTGCAGGTTGGATATGGACAGCAGTGCTTTCAATGAAAAACATGTAATGTGCAGATCCCCTTAAATGCAATGTTAACTTTCAGCTTGGGAAGCCTCAGCATTTCTGACACACTTTCTTTTTCGACTTTTAATAAAAGTAGCCTAGGCCTAAATTTGAACTAGACTCTTATAAAATAAATTAACCACTATATTTCCTTGAAATAATGTGCTTAATTTGGAATTAGCAGGAATTCAAAGACAAGCCCTCTATTAGTACGCCTGCTACCTCATTAGAGCTGCTTTTGTTGATTTGCAGCAGCAGGTACATGTGATTGCTTACATCAGGCTCTCATTTTTGTTTAAACAAGTGATCACTGTCTCCACCTGAATTGAATTGAACTTGAGAGGCAACATTAATATTTAAATATGCTGCTTTTTTTGTTTCAGTGAATTTGGTCAATTAGCAGTTGATTTATTGGATCAGTCCTTCAGGCAAGATGAAACTATGGCCATGAAGTTACTGACTTATGAATTGAAAAACTGGAGCAACTCAACCTGCCTCAAATTAGCTGTTCACTCGAGACTTCGTCCATTTGTAGCGCACACATGCACCCAAATGCTGCTGTCAGACATGTGGATGGGAAGGCTGAATATGAGAAAAAATTCATGGTACAAGGTAACATTTATCACGTGCTGGATTTCATTAAGGAGAATGAGAGTAATTAAATATGTCGCTCTTCCAGAAAACAAGCACAGACTGAATGGAATAAGATAATCCTGGAAATGCTCAGTAGGTCTGGTCAATCTGTAGTGTGATAGAGTTGAAAAATGAGAGAGAGAGAGAGAGGGATCTGTGGGGTTCTGGTAAAAGGTCATGGACTTGGAATATGAACTCTGTTTTTCAATCCACAGGGTCTATCACGGTATCTTGCTGTTGTTAACATTTTTGGTCTGTGACCTTACATCAGAAGTGGGGGGAAAAAAATTTAGAAATGTAATAGCGAGCAATTGAAAGGGCTCCGGATGGAAAGAAAAGAAGGACTAGGTCTGTGAATAGTTGGAAGGAAGGAGTGATGAAACACATTCATGTGTAAGAGCAAAGGGTGAAAGAAAGGAGGGACAAAACAAAACAACAATGTCTAGAGGAGGTGGGACTGGCAGGATTCTGAATAATTGCCATTCCAAAAGTCTTGAAAGTAAGAGATGGAGGAAATAGCAAACCGAGAAAAGGCAAAATGAAATGCAGGCAGAGATTATGATATAGAATTGTTGATCTCCATGTTGAGGAAGATGCTGTTCTTGAATCTGTTGATTTGTGTGTTTAAGCTTTTGCATCTTCTGCCCAACAGAAGATGTTGGAAGAGATTATAACTGGGTGGGAAGGGCCTTTGATTATGTTGGATGCCTTTCTGAGGCAGTGAGAAGTATAGATGGCGTCAATGGATGGAAGGTTGCCTTGTGTGATGACAGGGCTGTGTTCACACTCTCTCCGTAGTTTCTTATGGCCCTAGGCAGAGCAGTTGCCGTACCAAGCTGTGATGCATTCAGATAGAATGCTTTCTATGGTGCATCTATAAAAGTCCATATGTATACTTACAGACATGCCAAATTTCCTTAGCCTCCTGAGGATGTAGAGGCATTGTTGTGCTTTTTTCACCATCGCATCAATGTGGTTAGACGAGGACAGATTGTTGGTGGTCGTCATTCCTAGGAACTTGACGCTCTCGGCCATCTCTGCCTTGGCTCCAGTGATTAGATGGGGGTGTGCCCTCCTCCTTCCTGAAGTCAATGACTACCTCTTTTGCTGACCTTGAGGGAGAGACTGTTATTTTTACACCATGTCACCATGCACTCTATTTCTTTCCTGTATTCTGTCTCGTCACTGTTTGATATCTGGCCTATACCGATGGTGCCGTCAGCGAACTTGTAGATGGAGTTTGGATGAAATTTGGCCACACAGTGAGGGGCGGGGTGTCGATGTTGAGTATTGTTGTGGAGGAGGTGCTTTTGGCTGTTCTCACGGATTGCAGCCTGTGGATCAGGAGGTCGAGGATCCAGTTGCAGGTGGATCAGAGACCTAGGTCTGGGAGTTTAAAGATTAGTTTGGTTGGACTTGTCGTATTGAAGGTGGAGCTGTAGACAATATGTAGGAGCTTGATGTAGGTATCCTTGCTATCCAGATGTTCCAGGGATGAGTGTAGGACCAGGGAGATGGCGTCTGCTGCAGACCAGTTGCTTCAGTGGGCGAATTGCAAGGGATCAAGGCAGGCTGGGAGGCTAGAGTTGATATAAGCCATGACTAACCTCTTGAAGCACTTTATAATTATGGAGGCCAGAGCCACCAGGCGGTAGTCATTGAGGCACGCGGCATGAGTTTTCTTTTGAGCCAGGATGTTGGTGGTCTTCGTGAAGTAGGTGGGGACTTCACATCGTAGAAAGGAGAGATTAAAGGTGGATGTCAGCAAATACTGCCACCAGCTGGTATATGCAGGATCTGAGTGCATGGCCAGGGACTCCATCTCAGCCAATCGCTTTCCGTGGGTACGCTCTGAGACCGACCTGATGTCCCCAGTGGTGACTGAGGAAACTGGTGTATCTGAGGCTGTTGGAGCAGGTGACACCGTTTGACTGACCTTGTGTTCAAAACAAGTGTAAAATACATTGAGCACATCAAGGAATGATGTGTTTTTGTCCTCTACTCTGTTCTGCTTTGCTTTGCAGCCTGTTAAGTTGTAAAGGCCTTTCCACGAACCATGTTTAGTTTGGGTCTCTAGCTTAGTCTGGTATTGCCTCTTGGCATCTCTAATGGCATTATGGAGGTCCTATGTAATGGTCAGGGTCATCTGACTTGGACTTCACTAGGCAGTGGATCTCCCAGTTCATCCACGGTTTTATCCGGTTGGAAAACATTTGGATTGACTTTGCAGGCAGTAAGTGTGGTTAAACAAGAAATTGTTTAATGTGAGAACAAGTTCAAGCAGATGGAGGAAGGTGATAGAAGATGGGATCTGGCTGGGCCTCTGTTCAAGAAAAAAGTGAAAATTGTTTCATACCATCCTGCTATGGAATGGAGGTGTTGAGGGAATGTGGTGAAAAGGAGATGGTTGGGCCAGGAAGCTGAAAGAACAATAGTTTCCTATTTAAAGAGCAACTCTGGTCAGGGCTGGAACTGGGGGCATTTAACAGAAAATTGTTAGAAGGATACAGACATGTTGAAATTGACTCAATGCATTTATTTTTTGGTCAGGTTATTCTTAGTATTCTCTTCCCACCTGCTATTCTCATGCTGGAATTTAAAACCAAGGCTGAAATGTCTCATATTCCTCAAACCGAAGATGCTCATCAAATGAACATGGAAGACAGTGAACATAACTTTCAGAGCCCAACTGATCAAATCTCAATGGTAAGATTGATTCTGGTAGAGTCCATAAGAATAGTTGTACGAGATGAAACTAAACCCTTAAAGGGAGAGTCAGAGCTCAAGTGGTAATATCACTGAGCTAGTAATCTAAAACCCCAGGCTAATGGAATAGGACATAGATTCTCATCTTAACCTGGTAGATGGTGAAATTTGAATGCAGTAAAAATCTGGTGTATAATGGTGTTCAAATAATTACCATGCAGCCATTGTCATAAAAACCCATAATGTTTACCAGTGTCCTTGAGGGAACAAAACCTGATGTCTTAGCCTGGTCTGGACTACATGTGACGCCAGACCCCCTGCAATTTGGTTGACTCTTAACTACTTTCTGGGCAACAAATGATGACCTATCCAGCCATGCCCATATCGCATGACCTATTGAAAAAGAAAACACATCTTGGGGAGTCCCAATGCGCTGACTGTGTAGTAATTTCCCAATAATTTAAACTTTAGATGGCCAGTTACCAAAACCCCCCTGAAAATGTTCCCAAGTCGTTGTTACTGTTGGAGATGTAAGAGGGTTCAGGTGCACTGTGTGTTAATATTTTTCTAAGAAACAAAAAAGGATTAAAATGTTCTCTAACTCCTGGTTAAATAGAAATTGGACCCCCCACATCTGACCCACCCCGTCACCCAATTACCTTAAATCTTTGATTCTGCCAAAGTTGGTATGGGACTTTTACATGTTATTTTGCTGGAATATGGCAGGTATTATCATAAAAAGGGGCTCTTTTCTGTGACAGTGCTATCTGTGTGATTTGCACAACTGCATCTTTTGTGACGCATCCTGCATTGAGCATCAGGCCAAAAGTAAGTGGAACCGCATTCTTAACTGATCTAAGTCGGAAACAGGGAAACTGACTCGGACTGGAAATTTACAACCAACGTTGTAATCTGCAAACTGGTTAAAATGGTTAATCAATTAACCAAAAATAAACAACCACACAAATTGTTGGCTATGCTCAGCAAGTTTGGCAATGTCTGTTTATGTAGAAACGGTATTAAGGTTTCAGATCACGGAGCTCCTTCACAGCTTTCATTTCAGAGAACGCTGTCTGAAAGTAAGAATACATGTAAAATCTAATCAACGTGACAGGCTATCACGGAGCATAGCACCATGATTAATTTTTGATGCTGCATGTGTACCACATAGGACTTTCTTCTGTTTGAGTCAGAGTTCAAAAGTTTATTTGATTGCTTGCTTTCCTTTCCCATACCACACATCTGTCTCTGTTTTTAGGTGACTGTGTCTCAGAATTGTTCAATGTACCAACAAAAGCATTAGTCTCTCTGGATCCTGGGGAGATTGACAGTGTGAGTGCTGGTAGGATGTTTACCCTAGTAGGAGAAAGAGTTTAAAAATAAGGGATCTCCTATTTAAGACAGAGTTGGGTGAGTCAGAGATTCTTTTTCCCCCTGAGTGCAGTGGAGACAGGGTCAGGCTGAGTTCGATAGACTCTGAACTGACAAGGGAGTCAAAGGAACAGTGGGGCAGATGGAAATGTTGAGGCCACAATGAGGTCAGTCTTGATCTGGTCAAATGTTGGAGGAAGCTTGATGGGCCAAATGGCCTTCTCCTGACTCTTCCTGTCATGTGGAGTTGAATCCTGAAGTCTCTGATTTGGCAGTAAATTTTGGAAGTTGTGTAACATTATTGTGCTCAAACAACCAACAGAATAATTTGGTTTAAATGCTAAATGCCCATCATTGTAGGCTTGTCACCCCCACAAGTTTTGTCCTTCTAGTGACATCTTTCATACAGAGATCTTTTTCTGCTGTTTGTACAGTGTCATGCTTGTTATTTCCAATGAGCTCAGAGTGTTGCCCTTTTGTCAGGTGAAGTAGGGGGAGGCACACAGTCACAGAATTTATAGACAGAGAGATCAATGGCCAGCGGGATCAAAGGATCATACAAATGGTGTGAGTGGAGTGTTGACAGGCCAAATAATAGGTCTCTGCAGATGATCAAGGGTGTCAACAGCTGAATAACAAGCAAAGGGGTGACCTAAAATCTGATTAAATGAGGCAGAGAGACAATTACAAAATATTAATAATAAGGTGGTGCGGGAGATAAACCAAATGACTGGAATAACATAATAGCCTCCAAGAACCTCCACTTCTTGCTTTCAAACCACCACCAAACATTTTTTTTAAAAAAACCACCATTCACGCAAACTACCCAGCATTCAGGGCAACATTAACCACAACACCACACATTCCTGCCACAGCAATCGCTACAAGACATACCAAATCATTGACATGGACACTACCATCACACGTGGGAACACCACCCACCGCGTACGCGGCAAATACTCATGTGACTCGGCCAATACTCATGTGACTCGGCCAGTGTTGTCTATCTCATACGCTGCAGGCAAGTATGCCTTAAGGCATGCTGTATTGGCAAGACCATGTAGACACCACAACGGATAAATGGACACCATGCAACAATCACCAGACAGGAATGTTCCCTCCCAGTGGGGGAACACTTCAGTGGTCAAGGACATTCAGCCCCTGATCTTTGGGTACATGTCCTCAAGGCAGCCTTTGAGATACACAACGACGCAGAATCACCGAGGAGAATCTGATAGCCAAGTTCCGTAGCCATGAAGATGGCATCAACCGTGATCTTGGGTTCATTTCGCACTACATGTGACCCCATACCACTTCCGTATCTGTGTAAAATCTTCCTTGCCATTTTGTTTTGTCGTCATCACCTTCATAAATTGTTATGATCTCTCTACCTTAATTAGTTTGTACAGTTTTGGATAACTTGTTACTTTGGTAAGACCCTCAGCATGTGACTCTTCAATCCTATCATGTTATTCCAGTCATATAATCCAACGTCACCTTATTTTTAATTTTTTGTAATTATCTCTCTGCCTCATTTAATTGGATTATAGGTCATCCCTTCGCTTGTTATTTGGCTGTTGACACTTTACTCACATCATCTGGCACTCTTGGTTCACCTGCAGAAACCTATTATGTGGCCTGTCAACACTCCACTTGTACCATTTGTATGATCTTTTGATCCTACTGCTCATTGATCTCTCTGCCTATAAATTCTGTGTCTGTGTGCTTCTCTGTCACTTCACCTGACAACAGGGCAACGCTGCAAAAGCTTGTGATTTCACATAAACCTGTTGGGCTGTAACCTGGCGTCGCCTGATTTCTGACCTTGTACTATGAAGGGAAAAAGATGATCAAAAGGTACAAGTTGAAGAAGCGAGAGAATGAAAATGTAATAACTGGATCATGGGGAAAATAAAAAAACTAAGAATGTGGTCTTAAAGCACATGTACCAGAAAAAGAAAATAAAGTTCTCTATATGTTTGTAAAGATATAAACGATTCTATAGAGCACTTAAGACAAAAGTAACAAAACTAGTTCCGTCTGGTTGGTTGGTGGAAGAGTGTGTATTTTTTTTAACCATATAAAACCAAAATTATTAAAATAATTCAACGATATTTGGCTCTTTACAGTGCAAAGCACCAGCTGAGTTTTGGGGCGTTGAAGTCAAGGTGATGTCTGATTTCTCTGATCCCAATATAAGCTTGTGTTTATCAGATATGGTGGTGTTTTCAGCCCTGCTTCCCCCCAAAGATACCTGATCAAACTTGGTTCCTGCTATAGGATCAGGCACTTTGCACAAATCTGCATGGCATTGATAGCCTCCTGAGCTCCACAGCATTGTGAGTGAATATAGATGAATCAATGTAAACGAAGGTGTTAGTGCTTTGATGCAGGAAGAATGTAGGGGTTACTAAGGTACAAGGTTTGTTTATGATTGGGATCTGTACTCCATTCATCTCTTTGTTAGTTACGGCAGAAATGGTGGACATTTTAGCATTTATAAAAGTTCAGAATTTTATAAAACTAACCTTGCTTATGATTAATCCTGGACTACCTTAGTCTGTAAAATACAAAATAACTTGTTAAACTGTTCAAATCAGCAGTTTTTAACACCTGAAGCAATAGTCTCACTTTATGCATGTCATTGTATTTTAAAAAAAAATGGAATATGCATCTAGCACTGTCCATGGTCACACTTAATGGTGCAAAAATGCTGGTTTAAAATATTGACGTTAAAAGTCCAGTATTTTGTAGGGCTGAAACTTGATGAAAAGCATTCTTCTGTCCTTTATCTTTTCATACCTTCTGCATCTGCTAGAATTTATTAAGACTCCTGACATACTCTCTGTATCGGCCAACTTGTATCGCAGAGTAATTCTGGAACTTTATTCTCCTTGGTATCATACAGGAAGTCTTCAAAGAAGAAGGAATCTGTGACCATGAAGTGAAACATGAAGATACAGTTCACATGAAACCAAGGAGGCTGCCTCTCACCAGAAAATTTTACTCTTTCTACCATGCACCCATTGCAAAGTTTTGGTTTAACACAGTAAGTGAGTAAAGTGGAAAAAAGACAATGTCCTGATGAAATGTTTTGGCCTGAAATGTTGACTTTCCTGCTCTTCTGATGCTGTCTGCCCTGCTGTGCTTTTCCAGCCTCATACCTGTAGATGAAAGAAACAATGTACCTGACCTGTTCTAGCAGAGTTCAAAGAAGAAATTAAAGTTGTTTGGATCAAAGACCTCCTTCATTGACTTGGGTTGTACAGGCACAGGTACAACCATTTTAACCTTAGGAACCTAGAGCGAAGCTTCACTCTTGGGGTCCAGGTTGAATAGGTGAAAGAAGCAGCTGGTAATGGGAAAAGTGGCTTTGAGAGAAGAGGTGGTTTCAAAAATAAAAGGGGCTTGACGTAGGCTGATCTCTTGAATTTGAAATGTGTTTCAACACCATAGGACCTGGATATGAATCCAGATCCAAAAAAGTCCTCTTAATTACATCTGTCTGTGCATGGGGTGGCACAGTGGCTCAGTAGTTAGCACAGCTGCCTCATAGAGCCAGGGACAGTGGTCAGTTCACTGTCAGAAAGTTTGGCTTGGGTCAGAGTGTGATTTGTAGTTGTTGGTTGTGGTACTCCTGAGAGTTGCAACGACTAACCTCAGAGTTAGACCAAGTATTAACCAGCTTTACGTTTCCTAGATAAGTATGTGAATAAGTACCACTTGGCTGGCCCAAGAGTCCTATGGAGTGTCCCAAACAGCAGAAATCAGCCCATTGGAAATCTGAACTTGGGCAATTTCAGTGCATGTGCGTGCATCAGAATTTATGCAGTGTCTGGTGGGCATCTCCCAATTTACTTCAAATCTTAGGATGATCAGGATACAAAAGATTTGGGCTCCTGGCTTTGATTTAATTATTCTGTTTCATGTTTTCATTAATTAGGAAGCAAAAGATCATTGCTCTGACCTAAGGCACGTGACTGTAATCAAATTCCTTTGTAATTCCTTTTCATGAAGGTGAATGTTCATTTGTGATGTGGTTGAGGATGAAAATTCTTAAGACAAGATTAATTGAATGTTCCTCTTCAATAATGGAAAATAGCACCCGCTGTTTTGCAAAGATTAACTAGGAAATCTTGAGAGATGAAAAGTAAAAGTAAAGGTTCTCTGAATAAGGCTTTGCTGTTTACTTCGGTAATGCAACAATTGAAGAATTGAGTGCTGAAGAATGAGGACCTTTCAAGTCATTAATCTCTCTCTCTCAAATTCAATCTGTTTCCTTTGCAGTTGGCCTATTTGGGATTTCTCATGCTGTACACCTATGTTGTTCTGGTGGAAATGGAGAATTTACCATCTGTGCAAGAATGGATTGTGATTTCCTTCATTTTTACCTTAGCCATCGAGAAAATTAGAGAGGTGAGGATTATTCTTTTAAACATCTGGACTTGCCACAGCTTAATATTGTGCACAATCAATAAAGTGTTTTGTGCCTTTTTGAAAAATCATTTGGTCAAGGAGCCTGTAGTGTGTCAAGTCCACACTACAGCTCTTTGAACCTCACTGATTACCCAGTCAGGCTATATGAGATGGTTAGCACCTTGGCACTCTTTTTCATACTTGATCTAGTTCGATTTAGTTGAGCGCTAAGACCACTCTACAGCAACATTGCCCCCACCTTGTTGGGTTGCCGTCTCTGACACTGACTCCCTCATTGCCTGAAACCACTGCCCAACAAGTCCTATGCGCTAATCATCTTGTCCTCCCCTAAATTTTCTAGTTCACTTCCCCTCAAATCAGTTCTTGCTCTCTCTATATATTTATTGTGGGTTTCACTGACTAGGCCAGCATTTATCGTCCATCCCTAATTGTCCTTGAGAAGATGAAGTTGACATGTCATGAATCACTGCAGTCTACTTGGTGCTGGCATGCCCACAATGCTTTCAGGATTTTGATGCAGGGATGGCGAGGAGCAGCCAAGTTTATTTCCAAGTATGGGGTGGTGAATGGCTTGGAGGAGAGATTGAAAGTATGAATCTGCTACCCTTGTCATTTCCAATTAGTACAGGGCACAGGTTAGGAAGTTGCTGTTGAAGGAACCTTGTTGAGTTGTTATAGTGCGTGCTGTGGATGGGACACACTGCTGCCACTTGCATTGGTAGTGGAGGGAGTGAATTTGAAGATGTTGGATGTGGTGCCAGTCATGTGGGTTGCTTTGTTCTGGATGGATTTGAGCTTGTGTGTTGCTGGAGCTGAACTCATCCAAGCAAGTGGAGAGTATGTCATCACACTCCTGACATTGTAGATTGTGAACAGACTGTGGGGGGGAATCAGGAGGGGAGTTACTCACCCCAAGATTCTTAGCTTATGACCTGATCTTTTAGCCACAGTATTCACATAGCTGCTGCAGTTCAGTTTCTGGTCAATGGTAACCCCCAGGACATTATTATTGGGGGATTCAATGATTGTAAGACCATTGAATGTCAAGTGACAGTGGTTGAATTCTCTTTTTTTTGGACATGGCCATTGCCTGGCATGTGTCAGTCCAAGCTTAGATGTTGCCCAGCAAGGAAGGTCACGAAGCTGCTGAAGATGGTTGGACCCAAGAAACCACACTGAGGATCTCCTATACTGATGTCCTAAAGCTGAGATGACTGACCTCCAATAAACAAAACTATTAACTTTTGTACAACATATGACTCCAACTGGTGGAGACTCCCCTCCCCAGTTTTGCTAGGTTTCTTTACCACACTATGAAATCTCACTTCATCTCTGGAGTTCAGCTCTTCTGTGGTTGTTTGAACCTGTAATGAGTTGAGTGAGTCTGGTGGAGCTCAGACTGAGCGTTGGCAAGCAGCTTATTATTATGTACTGCTTAATAGCACTGTTGATGACACTTTCCATCACAGTGCTATCTGCCTGTTATTCCTCCCTACTCTTTATAGGACATTTTCCCAGGTAGAGCCAATGCCCAACACCCTGACACTAGCTTATTCTTTTTGCCCCATTACCATGAGGAGCTGGTCAAAACATTGCTGTTCCTTAATCCTCTGAAAGTCACTTCCTAGGTCACTTTCCATGCCATCAAAAATACTTGTTTGAAAACTTGGTATGTTTACCACTTTTATCCATTTTTCCCCAACATTCCTTCCCTAGTTTCCTTCATGGATTTTGTATCCATTGCTCCATAAGGAGTGTACTCTATTTTGTTATTTCACATTTCTGCATGATTTTGTGGATCATTTGTGTTAAGTAGTTTTTGGGTACATTGTAGCCCTGTGTCATCATCTGTTGGATTTTTTTATTTTTCAATGCAATTGTTATCATTTTGTTAATTTTTGTTTGTCTAGATCTTCATGTCAGAAGCTGGAAAGATAAATCAGAAGATCAAAGTTTATTTCAGTGACTATTTCAATATCACTGACACACTTGCAATTGTTTTGTTTTTTGTTGGTTTGGGGCTAAGATTTGGAACTGAGGAAGTGATGACTGCTGGGAGGATAATGTACTGCCTCAATATTATATTTTGGTACGTGCGACTTCTGGATTTCCTAGCAGTCAATCAGCATGCAGGGCCTTATGTCACAATGATAGGTAAAATGGTAAGTGAATCACTTGGAAATTTTAATGATTCATTTTTTCACTTTAATCTTTCAAATGTGAATTTGGGTGAGTCCTGTCATAATTCTTTATAATGCAATGAAACTGTTCATGTTAAGTAATACTGGATTTTAATAGAATGTTGTTTTCTAATAAAGTATTGATGTAGATCTTTTTACCCTAAGATGTTGACAGTTCAGTTAATACTATATTGGAGTGTATTTTCCCAAACCTTAAGAATTTTGGAGACATGTGATAACATTGCAAACATTTGCTATTTAATTTTAGTTGATTGCAAGAGTTCCAGATAAGTTCTATAACTTGAATGAGAAAAGGAAATTCAATCTTAGATTATACTTTTTGAAATTTGAACTTTACATTTAGCTGAAATAACTCATTTTTAACTTGATGATCACATCTAATTTAATGGGACCAATGCCACAAGAGTGGTGAGATGTTTGTCATTCTCAAAAATGAAATTGCCACCTTCAATGCTTCCACTGTGTAGGAAGGTATTGATTTGTGAACCAGTTAATGGAGAGAGGGAGAGAAGTCAGAGCAGAGTTACACGTGCAGTTGCTGATTAGAAATGGCACCAGTGATGATCCTGGGAGCCTCTTGGTGCAAGAACATCAAAAAGGGGAGAAGCAAAGTTTATATAAATATAAAAACTTGAGTTAATTAAATAAATTTCATATAAAATAATTTTATATTATCTGCACCTTTTAATGATTGGTATCATTCAGCATTTCTGCAATGCAGTAACCTCAATTATTATTATCATATTTTGGCACAGATATTTTGAAGCTTGAATTTTTAATCTCTTGAATTCCAGGTGGCAAACATGTTTTACATTGTGGTTATTATGGCAGTGGTCTTACTCAGCTTTGGTGTTCCAAGGAAAGCAATCCTTTACCCAGCAGAGTCTGCATCCTGGGAACTAGCTAAAGATATAGTCTTTCAGCCTTATTGGATGATATATGGTGAAGTATACGCGTATGAAATTGATCGTAAGTAACCTTTTGGCAATATCTGGAAATGTGTAGGAATAATCTCTGTATTCAAAATTCTCCACTCAGTGTAACTTGCCTTAGAAGAATTGATGGAGGCAACATGCTGAGCAGGTGCATCAAAATATCATGGTACCACAGATGCTTCGTGCCAAATGTCTCATATTGTTGTGTCTTGTGAAACCCCAAGAACAAGGATCATTGAGTCTGCTATTTACCCTCAGCAAACTTACCTTTGATCCTTTTAATGAACCTCTTATTGCCAAAAAAATTGGCACAAAATGTGAAATCTCTTCCTAGGTGTAGGTTAATGTAACACTCAATAAATATGCTTCCCAGAGTTGTGTCCATTTCTCAGCAACCTGATGACAACTTCAGGTAAATAATATCCACAACTTAATTAAAAGATTTTTGTTTCGCAACTTTTCCTGGGTCAGGAATGTGGACTTCCAGTTATTGCTGCTCAGAATATTCAGTCCAAAGTAACAGTGAAAAATAATTCTAGAGTGAGCAGAAATAAACAAAATGACTAAAGGCATTAACATTCAAGGCAAAGGGGACACAGGAATTTTATGCAAGTTGTGCTTGTGTAGTTCAGCCTTTTGTGCTGATTCATGAAATTTCATGTTTCGGAACAAATTAAGTACAGTTGTTATTGTAAGGGTAATTAGGAATAGGCAAGAACTGATGGGGTAGCCAGCAATGCCCACATCCCATCCCGCGATGAATAAATAAATGAAAAATGCAAAATGGTTCAAGACACCAAACCAGGTCTTCTCGGGGTTAATTCACTGTATGCACAAAGAATAGCTGGACTTTGTTTCCTGCAGTATTCAAGCAAGGTGGATAATCAAGCGAAGCTATGTTCACTGTTACTGAACCAGGCGATTCAGAGGACTTAAAACTACTTCACCTCTTGGGACCCAAATGTTTTGGGATGTATAAGTTCTCACAAACCTGGGAAGGCATCTAGACTATCAACAGACAACCACAAACTATAAAGCACCTTATATTTGGGGTTCCACCATCACCCATTGGAAATCCTGGGTAGGTGGCAGTCTCAGGCTTGATGCACTTCATTCCCCTTTCTGACACAGGGTATCTATCACTCAACAACTTAGTCCAAGCCTTCCACCTAAGAGTCTAAGTTCTTTGTCTGGTCCTTATGGAGAAAATTTTAGAGATAAAAACCTTTATTTTAATCTGACTTATTACACAGATTAGACATTCCCCGAATGTTGGATAATGTTCAGTATTATTTTGTCCCCTAAAATTGTCATTGATCTCATCTCCGTTGTAAAGAATATGATGAGGGTAAGAAGCTATATCCCCTGCAATTTGTCTTGAAGTCATAAATGTCACAACAGACAACCATCTGCTCTTATTAAAAATCCAGGAATCTCTCAATAAACCACTTTATTGATCATTCTCTCTTTTGTCATAAAGCCTGCGCCAACAACACTGAAGATGGTGCAAAGCAGCGTTGTGTCATTGGATCATGGATAACGCCATTTTTACAAGCTGTCTACCTCTTTGTGCAGTATATCCTCATGGTGAATCTTCTTATTGCATTTTTCAAGTGAGTGCTTTCTTCCATCCATAATATATATTTTAAAAATCTGTGCATTCTGGTGTAATTTCTTTCCACTATGAATTTGTGCCCACCTTTGCTCACTCACATTATAATGTGGATGTGTTACATGATCATAAACACTCCCCCTTCCTTGTAGCAGAAGCACCATAGCAAATGGACAGGGCATTGATATTTGTTTCTGAAATTTCTTCACTCAAGTGTTTGTGAAACTTCAGAATTCACTATTCAGGAGAGTTGTGGAAATGCATTTAGTTTGTTCAAGCGCCAAAATGATGTTTTAGGTTAAGGCTGTTAAGGGATGTGATTTTGATGGATTTGAGGTTACCATGGTCGTGTTGAATGGCCAAGCCCTCAAAGAGCCAGATGGCCTACTCCAGCTGATATTTCTTCAGCCTGCCATTGGCAGCCATGTTTCAGATGCCATTATTCCATTCTGTATAATACCCTTCATAAATGCCTTTGCCTTTCCACCTCTTATTTAACACACACTCACACCTCCCTTGTTTGACTGAATTTTTGGTCACCTCTCTTTCAGTATCCACGTTTCATGTGCGGCTGCAGTGTTTTGGTACAATATGTAAACAGCTGCTTGATGAACCACAAACTTTGGCGCACTGCAAACTGATTTTTATTTTGGGTAGTGAGTTTTAATTTTAGAACAAAAAGAAACAAAAGAGCTGTACAGCACAGGAACAGGCCCTTGTGCCCTCCAAGCCTGTGCTGATCATCATGCCCTAACTAATCTAAAAAACAAACCTCTGCCCTTATTCGGTCTGTATCCCTCTATTCCCCTTCCTATTCATATAACCATCCAGATGCCTCTTAAATGTCACCAACATGCCCACTTCCACCACCTCTTATGGCAGTGTGTTTGAGGCTCCTACCACTCTGTGTTGTAAAACTTCCCTCACACATCTCCCTTAAACTTGCCCCTCTCACCTTGAACCTGTACCCCTTTGTAATTGAAACTTCAACCCTGGGAAAAAGCCTCTGACTATCCACCCTATCTACCCCACAACCAATGGATCAGGTCTAAGCCATGCAGTCCTATCACACCTAGTTGTGAATGGTGGTAGATAATTGAGCAACTCCCTGGAGGAGGATCCTCCACAAATATCCCCATCCTCAATGATGGAAGAGCCCAGCACATCAGTGCAAAAGATAAAGTTGAAGCATTTGCTGCAGTTTTTAGCCAGAAGTGCCAAGTAGGTGATCCATCTCCACTCTACCTGTGCCTGTCATAATTTTGTAGACCTCTATCAAGTCTCCTGTCAGCCACAGTCTTTCCAGTGAAAACAATCCTGGTCTTTTTAACCTTTCCTCGTAGCCAATGCCCTTGAGACCAGGCAACATCCTGGTGAACCTTCTGTGCACTCTTGCCAAAGCTTCCACATTCTTTTGTAATGTGGCAACCAAAACTGCACATAATATTCCAAACACGGCCTAACAAAGGTTTTATGTAGCTGCAAGATGATTTGCCAACTCTTGTACTCCATGCCCTGGCCGATGAAGGCAAGCATGCCATATGCCTTCTTAATTACCTTGGCCACCTGTGTTGCCACTTTTAGGGAACTGTGGACCTGCACACCCAGATGCATCTGTATGTTAATACTTCTAAGGGTTCTGCCACTTACAGTATAATTCACACCTAAATTTGATCCTCCAATATGCATCACCTCACATCAGGTAGAAAACCCAAGGTTTAGCAAAAATGAATGCCAGATCAATAAATGAAAGATCAGATAGGATAACTAAAGCTTGATCAAATGGATGAATTTAAGAAAATTCTTGAGCAACATGGTAGAATTTCAGATAGTTGAAGTTAGCAGCTGAAGGCACAGGCACCACTGATTGAGGAGAGGGGAAGACAGTATCTGATTTGGGGCTCCATAATCTTAAAGCTAACATTTATTTAATAAAATCTGCACATGATCCTAAGAATTAACCCTTTTTAACGATAAGGAACAGTTTTGGAATCATGTTCCATTTTACTTTTCTAAATGTCTTCTGATCATAAGCATCTCAAAAGAGCGATAACTTTTCATATCCAAAATTACAGTAAATTGTGGAAAAATTATATTCTCTCATTTCTTATTTTTCAGCAATGTGTATTTCCAAGTGAAGGCCATTTCAAACATTGTGTGGAAATATCAACGGTACCACTTTATCATGGCATATCATGAAAAACCCGTTCTCCCACCACCTCTTATCATTCTCAGCCACTTTGCTTTATTGATCTCTCATGTTTGCCGACAAGGAAGGAAACATGATCGAGGGCAAGGAGGGCCAAGTAAGGACGATCTTCTGAATTTTCCTGAAATTGGCATTTGTTTTAAACTTATTACAAACATCTGTTGGTGTCAGTATTTAATGTTCTGGGAGTACAATATTTTCGACAATTGACCTCAGGGAACTCGGGCTCCTGTATTAAAAATGTGCCAGGATTTACTGTTTGTTTTGCTTTGTTGCCTAAATAGTTACTCTTGCAATGTGGGATACAGACTGGTCACACTGCTTTATTCAAAATTCCTTGTCAGCAGAATTTTGTTTTTTGTTTGGAGTTTTGCAATTTTTCATGCTTCTCTCTCTCATGCACAGAGACACAATCTCCTTAAGTGACTAAGTCTAACCTTCAATTAAGGCTAGCTTGACCCAGGAGATCAATCTGCATTCTAAATTCAATGGGTATTAGTTGACAAGGTCTCCAATTCAAATAGCATTGAATTTTGAAGCCTTCAAAATTGTAAGTTCTGATTGAAGTCAGAATTTGTATTTGACTTTGGAATTCCTTTAGACCTAATCTGCCAAAACCTATTTATTTCAGAGTTGTTTGTAAGTGAGGATGATCAGAAAAAATTGCATGACTTTGAAGAGCAATGTGTGGAGAAGTACTTCCATGAGAAAGAGGATCGATTTCATTCTGGGAGTGAAGAACGAATTCGGCTGACTTCAGAAAGGTAAAGATTTTAATTTTGTACAACCTTATACCACTTATTAGGAATAATGGGAAATATGAACTTGAGTTTTGATCTAGATTAATTATGTACATAGTTAACAGACTATCATCTCAAATCTCTATCAACAGTGAATTATTTTGAAAGTGCAGTAGCTCGTAACATACTTTTCGCTGTCAGTTTCTGCACAGCAAGGGCTTGAAACAGCAATGAGATTCATAGTCAGTAGAACTGGCAGAAGAGCATTTAATATCTGATCTGATGGTCAAAATTTCCAGTGCAGAAATGGAACATTGTTGAATCATTTAATAGGAACTTTATTGAAAGTTGTTGTGCAATTGAAGTTTGACTTGAAATATAGTCTTGATGTCAATGTTTCTTTGCTGAGATCAACTATACATATCCAATATGGATAATGCAGTTTAATGTTTTCTGAAATGGATTGTGATGTCCTTGGAGAAGAAATTTAAGATGTAAAAGTTGGACCCTATAATCTAAACTATGTTTCATGGGTCTGGATGGGATGCTGTTCGGAGGATCAGAGTGGACTCGATCGGGCAAATGGCCTGCTTCCATGCTGTAAGGATTATTTGATTCTATTAATCAAGCTGGTCGGGTCCTAAAGGACGTTGCTGCTAGACTGGATCAGTGGCAGGTGGTGAGGGAAACCAACAACAGGGAAAAACATACTTGACCTCATCCTTACCAACCTCCTGGCTGCAGATGCATCTGTCCATGACAGTATTGGTAAGAGTGACCATCGCACAGTCATTGTGGAGACCAAGTCCCATCTTCACATTGAAAATACTGTCCATTGTGTTGTGTGGCACTATAACCACGCTAAACAGGGCAGATTTTGAACAGATCTAGCAACTCCAGACTGGGCATCTATGAGGTGCCGTGGGCCACCAATAGCAGCAATCTGTAACCTCATGGCCCGGCATATCTCCCACTCAACCATTACTATCAAGCCAGAGCATCAACCCTGGTTCAATAGAGAGTGCAGCACAACATGCCAGGAGCAGCATCAGGCGTACCTGAAGATGGGGTGTCAGCAGGAGCTAAACGATCCCACAACCAATGGATCAGGTCTAAGCCATGCAGTCCTTTCACACCTAGTCGTGAATGGTGATGGATAATTGAGCAACTCACTGGAGGAGGATGCTCCACAAATATCCCCATCCTCAATGATGGAAGAGCCCAGCACATCAGTGAAAAGATAAGGTTGAAGCATTTGCTGCAGTTTTTAGCCAGAAGTGCCAAGTAGGTGATCCATCTCCACCTCCTGCATTGGTCCCCAGGATTACACATACCAGTCTTCAGCCAATTTGATTCACTCCACATGATATCAAGAAACAATTAGTGGCACTAAATACTACAGATGCTGTGGGCCCTGGCAACATTCTGGCAATAGTACAGAAGACTTGTGCTCCAGAACTTGCTGACCCTCTAGCCAAGCTGTTCCAGTACAGTTACAACATTGGCATCAACCTGACAATGTTGGAAATTGCCCAGATATGTCCTGTACATAAAAAGCAGGACAAATCCAACCCAGCCAATTACTGCCCCATCAGTCTATTTTTGATCATCAGTAAGTTGATGGAAGGTGTCATCAACAGTGCTATCAAGCAGTGCCTGCTCAGTGATGCCCAGTTTGGGTTCCGCCAGGGCCGCTCAGTTCCTGACCTCATTTACAGCCTTGGTTCAAACATTGACAAAAGAGCTGAATTCCAGAGGTGAGGTGAGAGTGACAGCCTTTGAGGCTGCATTCGACCCAATGTGCCATCAAGGAGCCCGAGCAAAACTGGAATCAGTGGGTATCGGGGGCCACTTCTCTGGTGGTTGGGGTCATACCTGGCACATAGGAAGATGGTCATGGTTGTTGGAGGTCAGTGATCGCAACTCCAGGACATCTGTGCAGCAGTACCTCAAGGTAGTGTTTTCAGCCCAACCATCATCAGCTGCTTCATCAATGACCTTCCCTCCATCATAAGGTTAGAAGTGGGGATGTTCACCATTCGCGACTCCTCGGATACTAAAGCTGTCCATGTTGAAATACAAGAAGTTATGGACAATATTCAGGCTTGGGCTGACAAGTGGCAAGTAACAATTCACACCACACAAATGCCAGATAATGACCATCACCAGTAAGAGACAATCTAACCACCGCCCCTTGACATTCAACAATATTGCCATCACTGAATCACCCATTATCAACTTCCTGGGGATTATCATTGATCAGAAACTCAACTGGACTCTCCAATTAAGCACCAGCTACAAGAGTAGGTCAGAGGCTAGGAATCCTGCAGTGAATAACTCGCCTCCTGACTCCACAAAGCCTGTCCACCATCCACAAGGCACAAGTCAGGAGTGTGATGGAATACTGCCCATTTGCCTGGATGGGTGCAGCTCCAACAACACTCAAGAAGCTTGACACCATCCAGGACAAAGCCCGTTTTATTGACATTACATCCACTCCCTCCACCACCGATGCTCAGTAGCAGCAGTGTGTACTATCTACAAGATGCACTGCAGGAATTCACCAAAGATCCTCAGACAGCACCTTCCAAACCCACAATCACTTCCATCTAGAAGGACAAGGACAGCAGATATATCGGAACACCAACCCCTGCAAGTTCCCCTCCAAGCTACTCACCATCCTGACTTGGAAATGTATCACCATTCCTTCACTGTCACTAGATCAAAATCCTGGAATTCCCTCCTTTAATGGCATTGTGGGTCAACCCATAGCACATGGACTGCAGTGGTTCAAGAAGGCAGCTCACCACCACCTTCTCAAGGGCACCTAGCCTTGGGCAAGAAATGCTGGGCCAGGGACACCTAGATCTCTCAGATGAATTTAAAAAAAAAAATAGGTACAGCACAGAAGATAGCCATTCAATCAGTTTTATCCATGGTAACTCTTTAAAACTTTTTCACTGCAGCCTTGAAATTCTCCACTGTTCAGGTACTTATCCAATTCCATTTTGAAAGTCATGATTGAATCTACCTCCACCACACACTCTCATTGCATTTTAAATATGGTTCTTATGTGTTACACTGTACTTGGTATTTCATGGATAGGCAGCAGAGAGCTGGGCATTTAATTGTTAAGATTTTCTGGACATTACATTTTGAGTGAAGTAGCAATAAAACAAATAGTACTCTTGGTTGAATTCAAGTCTTCAAAAATCGTCACCAAGCCTCCTGTCAAGCCACATTTAGAATCCTGCAAATGCTTCTGGATTCTGCAACAAGAGGCATTGTTCCCCAGCCAAACATTAGGAAGCTCAAAGCTGTGAACCTCGTGCTTTGCCCTGAATCTACTCCCTCAGTCCCCACCACTAACTCCACTTCAGTCAGACTGTATCTATAATTTCCCGTTACACAATAAATTAAATTTTTGAGATTCTATCATAAATGACAGCTGCTTCTACCCATGTAACGTTTGGTTTATGCCTGTCACAGCCCACCTGCTGAAACCATTATGCTTTGTTGCCCCCAAGCTTGACTATTTCAGTCTTATCCTAGCAAGTTTCCTACACTCCATTCTTCCTCATGATGTTCAGTTCACCTAAAATTCTTCTCTCTGCTCTCTTCCACTCTTCCCCTCTTCATCTCCCTCCCCTCTTTTTTTCCTTCTCCCTCTACCTCCACGTCCTCTTCTTCTGTACGCACATCTGCACCCCCCCACCCCAGTAGGGCAAACATTTCTTCTGCCTTTACAGTCAGTTGTTTAAATCTCTTAATGTTCTAGTGCATTCTCACCTCCATGATATCCTCCAGTCGGTCTTTCATCATGTTCTACTTCGCCAACTGTGCCTTCGCCCACTGTGCCTTCGCCCATCCCCTTAAGTGCCTCAAGCATCTTTGAATCTTTTATTTCTACACTAAGGGTGTGATTGTTATAGTTAGGTCTGAAATTAGCAACACTCGCCAATAATTTATTTAATTCGATATGAAGTCATTGAGTTAATCCTTCTTTTTCTTTCTTTCTTAGAGTTGAAAATATGTCCATCCAGTTAAAAGAAGTAGGTGACCGTGTAAATTATATAAAGCGTTCCTTACAAACGTTGGATGGCCAGATTGGGCACTTGCAGGACCTGTCAGCCCTTACAGTGGACACTTTGAAAGCACTGACTGCTCAGAAAGCTTCAGAGGCCACAAAGATGCACAATGAAATTACTCGTGAACTGAGCATTTCAAGAAATCTGGGAGATAATCTTTCGGATGCCCCAGTTAAAACTTCACTTAAAACGAAACACAGCATTGGAACATATTTGGGCTCCTCTTTTTCTCAGCGAGGGATGGACACTGGTAATTCTATATGTGCTGATGGTTCTCTTCAAGACTACATTAATGCTTCCCAAAGAGAGATGTTATGCAGGAAGTATGGCCAAGAATTTCTTCCAAGTTCCCAGAGGAATGAACTGAGTGATCAAGAGGCTGGTTCCTCGGCTTGTGCCTTATTACGAAATGCAGCATCTCCCTCTGAACTTCAGCATAGAAGCCACATGGGGCTGGGGAAGACCCAATCTCTGACCAGTGATCAAAAACCAGGAAAGTCATTCCACAGCATACCAAATCTCTCTTCCCCAGCGGCCAAATTTTTTGTTAGTACCCCATCTCAACCAAGTGGCACGAGCCAGCTGGAGCTTGTAGCTGACTCAGTCGACTCAATTAAAACTGGTATAGATGCAGATGGCAGTTCTGTTGAATTTGGGGCATTTGTTGGTAAGTATAGTGAAGTTGTTTGTACTTTACCTGAAGACATTTGCTGCTGTCCTTCTCATCCTGCTTGCAGCTTCTGTTGCCACGCTAGCACCACAGCTTGCTTTGAAACTGAAGGATATCTCAACCACGCATTCATTGACACTGAGAGTAGCATTGACACTGACAACAGTCACGACCGAAGCACTGAATATAATCTGAGCACTTTGCATGACTTTGAGAACCACTTTGAAAAGAGAGAACCTCTGCGCACAGGAGACTTTGCTTCAGCCACCATATCCAATAAAGAAACCTACGAACAATACAGCAAAGGGCAAAGATGTTTGGACACTCACTTCATACAGGCTATCGAATTGCGAGGTCAACATATTAACATTGGGAACTGTTCAGGACTGCTGAATGACCTGTGGAAAAAAACCAAAATGAGAGGTTTGAGCTCCTGTACCACTGTAACTTTGCGGGACTTCTGCTGGTTGCAGGTGACTTCACTGTTGGTGCATTGCTGCTTGGGCCTCTCCTTGGTTTTATTTGCCCTTCTGCTTCTGCCATATCTTGGTTGCAACAATAAGGCACCGCCACTGTGTGTTGTTTCCCCAGCCTCGTAACATTTTATGATATCTACTCTAATGTCTCAGATTTTACCTCAGAAGAATGTTTGGTTTTCAACCATTTTGAACTTTTTGATGCTTTAATTGTCTAACTGTCCTTTCTAGGATTGTGACAGTTAGATGGATCTAACTTGAGGTGCAAAATTTAATGTCCCTGAAAGCCTATTGTTTTAACTTTCAGTTTTTTAACTTTCAGTTTTAACTTTCAGTTTTAACTTTCAGTTTTAACT